GAGAGTTTCTCAAACTTCTTCCTGCTGTTTTCAAAGTGACTTTCTAATTTCTTTGTTTCTCGCTTCCCTCTGTGACCCCTAGGCTCATGATGTGGCCCCATATTTATGTGGTTTTCACTTGAGGCCATATTGGATTATCCTTGTTGCCATCTGGGAACCACATGGCTCCCAGAAGCCCATTACATTCTATCATTCTTTAAATTCCCAATGGGAATCAGCTATTGTTTCTGTCTTATTTTAGTATACATAGAATATTAGATCCTTTTCAAAAATATGTTTAATGGAATATTTTTCTTCAAGTTTGCTCAACTTTATAAAATAATGAATACGGTTTTGTACTTGAGATCAGACTATCAGTAGCCCACAGTGTCTTCTAAGGTCACATTTTCTATTCTTACCCCTCCTCCCACTGTTTATCTCACATTATGGTTCTTATCACACATTCAATTACAAGCTGTTCAATGATGCATATCACCATTTTCTTACAGAGGAGTATCAGCAAATGTTTCCCTCAGAACCCTTGAAAAATCACAAGGAGAAGTACATTAACAGCAGTTCTGGGGAAAAACTCATCAAACTTTGCAGCTGCTTTCTTTACTTGCATATAATATTTCTGGTTATAATGTCACAATGTATATTTCCTCCTCCACACATTCTTGTAATGATGATGATCCAGAGAAGTTATGAGAATATATTAAAACAATAATAAAATTATTTTATCAAAATATCTAGCAAATGGTTAATTCTATAAAAATAAAACAATGGTCATCCCTTCCAGGGAATTGTCCAGGTAATCATAACAACTGCCTGTCCTGGAATATCCTAAACCTAATAAAACATCAAAATATCACTTTTATCTGGAAAACACTTTGAACCACAGTTCTAAGACATGGTAAAGTTCAAATGAACATTGTGTAGACTTTGTGAATTCACGAGTTATAGGACTCAAGAGGTATCTTGCATAGAAAAGTGTTACCATTGATTTTACCAGAAGAGGGTCAATTCATCAACTTTAAGAGATTTTTACTAAAATCACATGTTTAAAAACATGGGTAGGTCAATTGTACTTGCCTAGCACTACACTGACCCAAGTTGGATTGCATATACTATACATGTACCCCAGAGCACTGCCAAGAGCAATCCCTGAGTGCAGGGCCAGGAATAGACCCTGAGCACCACTGAGTATTGCCTCAATTTCCCTCAAAATAAGTAAGAAAAAAATCACAGGTTATAGAAGACAATATTCTGCATGAGATGAGTGGTTAAAAATCACAGGGCATAGAAGTTAATGTTCTGCATGAGGGGAGGGTTTGTCTCAAATAATGAGATCTAAGTTAATGGTATTTTCCAGAAATGAGTAAAGGGGGACATGTTTAAAATTACTAGGCAGTGCCTGTAGGCTCTGGAGCTTGGAAAAAACTTTCCAAGGATCAGAATAAATGGTATTAATTTGAGTGCTCCAGATAGCTTTGAGTTTACCTTGTACTATTGTGTTTTTAATAACTATACAGTACACATCCTCTCGATTTTCAAGAACTGTTTAACATTTTTACAAGTATGTGTGGTATACTTCAAATTTTCAAGAGAGCGGATCTCAAATGGTTGCCCTTCTTACTCCCAAACAAGGTGATTAAAATGTTAATGAGCTTGATTTTGGTGGTAATCTCACAATGTATACATATAGCACTCTCTATACATTATGCATAAATAATCTGGAGTACCTTAAGTGATTTAATTAATATACAATACTTTTTATATAGGATAAATATTGAGTATTCACAAAATGTACATATTATGATATAATTCATACATACTGGACATCTTAAATGAATACAACTTTGTCAATAAAGTGTAAAAATATTCTAAAATTAACCTACTCATTCAATGAAGATTTCTAAGCATTATATGATGACCAATGCACTTCCAGATACTATGGGTGACAGACAGCAAGTTGCATATCTTTGTAAGAATATAGTCACTAGGGGCCAGAGTGATAGTACAGCGGGTAGGGCGTTTGCCTTGCATGCGGTCGACCTGGGTTCTATTCCCAGCATCCCATATGGTTCCTCAAGCACCTCCAGGAGTAATTCTTGAGTGCAAAGCCAGGAGTAACCCCTGAGCATCACTGGGTGTGACTCAAAAAGCAAAAAAAAAAAAAACCAAACCAAACAAAAAAAAAGAATATAGTCACTAACAGGGAGAGATAAATAGGCTATGGAAAATCCCAAACAAAATCTAAGTCTTCAAAATTTACTAATTATATAAAACTACAATTAATTAACTATGTGAAACTATAAAAATCTTATTTTCAAAACAGTCATTGCTTTGTCTTTGTTCCCAAGTCGTTCTTTCATTCTTTACTATATTTACAATGGTTTCTATTAATTCATAAAAAGTGAAGTCGATTTTAATCAAGATGAATATTTCAAGGAGTACAGGATGCAAGGTTAACCCCTTTCAAATCTCTGGCACATATATGGTTCTCTGAGCACTTCCAGGAGTAATCCTTGAGTGCAGAGTGATGAGTAAGTCCTGAGCACCACAAGGTATAGCTCAGAATAACAACAAAAAATCATCTAAGAGATAAATATTTATAGAAAATATTCCTCTTAAAATTCAACTCATGAGAATAAAAATTATCAAGGAAAATGCTGAATTCTTGGAGACAGGGAAGCATTAAAATAAGATTTTGGGAGTCACAGAATTTTAATGTGTATTTTAAATCCCTTGTGTGGATTAAAAATTCGCAAATAAAGGGTCAAAGAGCTTAAGTACAAGTTTCATATGTGGTGTTAAGATTTCATAACCTGCACCACATGGACTCTGGAGCCCCACTGGAAGGCACGTTGAGTTTTGGTCCCAGGAATCCATACTCAGATGCTCTGGTGTAATCCTTAAACCAAAAAAAATTTTTTTCAATTGCTAAAACTCCAAATTCAGAGAGACAGTTCAATGAGGTGGGGGACACAATTTAAATGTGGGAAGCCCAGGTTCCATTCCCTCTGCCACTGATTCTTGGAGCCTCACTGGGAGAAGCACCTGAGCATTGAGTTTGGGATAATGCACAAGGATCACTGGGTATGGCCCCAAATCTAAAGCAAAAATGCAAAAGCTTCAGAAAATTAATATTAGGAAAAAATGTATTGTGAAAAATACCCTTTCTTCTATATTAGATCATATTCCGTTTACTTACTAAAACAATTTTTTTCTTTTTCTTTTCCTTTCTATTAGTGAGACACCATGAGGTACAGTTGTAGACTTACAAATTTTTGTGCTTGAGTTTCAATTATACAATGATCAAATACCCATCCCTCCACCAGTGCCCATTCTCCACCACCACCAGTCCCAGTATCCCTCCCACCCCCTCATTCCCCCCTCCACCCTGCCTCTGTGGCAGGGCATTCCCTTTTGTTCTTTTTCTCCTATTGGGTGACTAAAACTAATTTTTAATGACGCTTATATACAACATTCTATAATGGGTGGACAAAATTATAGGGCATTCATTTTACCTTGCTTAGTTTTGCTTTGAATGTTGTCACTGTCAATGTCCTCCCGTTGTTTATCCATTTGCTGGAGCGGGCCCAGTAAGATTGTGATACTTATTACTGTGTTTGGCATATTGAATACGTCATGGGTAGCTTGCCAGGCTTTGCCGTGCAGGTGAGATACTCTTGGTAGCTTGCCAGACTCTCCGAGAGGGGTGGAGGAATCGAACCCAGCTCGGCCGGGCTAGCTGCATGCAAGGCAAACGCTCTACCCACTGTGCTATCGCTACAGCACTTGAATATTAATTCTTCTAAAAATATTATTTGACTACCCCTGTCCCCAAATGACTGAGTTTAAATGTTCAGAGATGCTGAACAAAACACAAAACTTCCTATTTTAAAATGTTTGGCTATGCATCTGTTGCAACAATGCAACTGGATGTGATGAGAATTTTAAGTTAAACTGTAACATAGTGGGGCCAGAGTGGTAGTACAGTGGGAAGGGCACTTGACTTACAGACAACCAAGCTGGGTTTGATCCTCGGCATCCCATGTGGTTCCCCCATGCACCACCAGGAGTAATTCCTGAGTGCAGTGTCAGGAATAACTCCTCTGAGCACTGCAGGGTGTGGCCCACACATACATATAATTAATATATAATTATATATTTGGGCTGGAGCGATAGCACAGTGGGTAGAGCCTTTGCCTTGCACACAGCCAACATTGCTGACCCGAGTTCGATTCCTCTGCCCCTCTCGGAGAGCCTGGCAAGCTACCCGTGATGTATTCGATATGCCAAATACAGTAACAACAAAGTCTCCAATGGAGACGTTACTAGGCCTGCTCGAGAAAATCGATGAACAACGGGAGGACAGTGACAGTGACAATTATATATTTACATAATAAATATTTTACATAATTTACATTTACATAATATAATTAATGTGAACAGCATCATTAGCTATGTGCTATACATACACATATATAAAAGCTAATGATGCCACTCACATCAATTGTGCAGAAGTATAATGAGATTGGTCTTATGTCCAAGGTTTACTGGTATCCACACAAGAATAGAAATGAAAGCTTTTGAGGCTTATGTTTCACCACAGCAGTCTTTTGAAAGCAAACATTTCCTCATCCAGGAAGTGATGATGTTATACTCAACACTAAAAATATCCCAGAGTGTAGTGACCAATATTAGAAGTCCAAAATATCTCAATTGATTATATTTTTGAAAAACCATGGGTCTATGAAAAAATGAAGACACATATGTTTTTCAATTGCTTTCTGCTTATTTTCCACTGGACTCACTTCCACTACTCATACTCCACAGTAGTGAGGGCTTTACTACTGAGACTTAATTAACCAAAATGATATGATGTTTTACAAATACCCTGATGTGAGGAAAATCTTGGGACCAGCTATAAACCGGTGGATAAAGATAAGAGCTCTAAGAATCACCCATGCAACATAACTTAGAGTACTATCTGAAATATGGTTTCAGATACTCACCAGTGAAATGGTTCAAAGAGGATGAATTGAGACTGTCAACACTGTCAGCACTGTCACAGCTAAAAACTTCATCACCTGATTCCTGCACAGAGGAACAGGGTAAAGAACCGTTGATTTCTTCAAACTTCCCCTTATAAATTCCACTCATAGCTGCAGCACTGTCACATGTACCTATAATTGGAATGGGAACATTTAACCACCAATTGCATAGTCAAGGTCTCCAAATCCTTTGGGAAAGCCTATCTTGTTTGTGTTATATTTATTACATTATCATATTATTTCCATAATGCTGAAACACATTAAAAAGAATTCTACCCTGAATCATTGCTATTTTCATTCTCCTTCTGAAACAAGCATCTTATAAATAAAAAAAAAGATTAAGCATTTAGAATAAGCGTACCTATATAAGGAAATATGGCTCAGTGTTGTGCAGTATCAAAACAGGAGTCAAATACGTTTATTTGATTTGTGCTAGTAAATCGTGCCCTGACATTGACAGAGCCAGAGTTCAGAATGAAATAGATCACTCACTTGCATGCTGTCATACCCAGAGCATACTGATTAGGGTCTGTCGATCTTGCTTGGGATTTCTTTTTTTCTCAGAAACCTAGACATCTACTTTCCTGGGGCTCTTTGTCCATCAAAAATCAAATTGGTTGCTAGGAATGGTTCTACCTGCAGAATTTAGATGACTTATCATGTTTCCAGTCAATTCAACAGAGCTACAGGGAATATTCGAGTCTTAGGACAAGAGGGTTGGCTGAATAGATTTTTAAAAGGATAAGCCCTTGTTCCTAAATCTTTCACTGGATAGAATATTAATTTAAATCTTTTCATTCTCTTTATCAACAGGAGCAGTAAAAGTCATTCATGGATGGTCCAATATATATTTTTAAATTTTGTTAGTGTTCATATATACGTTATTAAGTTCTTAGGGTAATAAACCTGTTAAAGCTAGAGAGTAACCTTTCAGTGTGGCCAGCAGCAGCAAACACTCATTCGAACAAGTGCAGTCATAACCTTAGTGAAAAAAGAGTAAGATGTAACAAAATCATGAGATCATTTTAGTTTTCTCTTTTGTTCCTGGGGTTCTGTCTACCTTTCTTTTGTCTGCTGTTATTTGTAACAAGGTATCTAGAAATACTTCACCTCAGGAAAATCAGAGCATAGGCACAATAAAAATGACCTCAATCAAGGAAACAGTTCATTGAGCCAGTGTGAACTTGGGAAGCCTGCTGAAGTTCAAAGGGCAACACCAGGGGTTGAGTGTGGGACTTAGAGTGGCAAACAAGTTCTTGGGTTTGATCTCATGCAGTGAAAAGAAAATGGAGGCACGGGAGGCACAGATGCTATTTAGGTCTAGATCCTTGGAGCTTCCAATTTAACCTCTTCTAAAATCTGACCTCTACTCTACTCATATAGAACAGCAGTCTTCATATACTCCAACTGACTTCCCCTCTTTAATATTTTAATAAAGCTCAAGGAGCAATTTTAAGATACAATTTATCTCTCACCTATTTGAAGATGTCTGTGACTCTACCTTGAAAACCTTAAAGACAAAGTTTTTACAGAAAAGCTTCTAGAAACAGTATTCTTGCATAGTAAAATAAGACACTACAAAATAGGATAAAGTCAATGACTTTTCTATATGAAAATGATGACACTGAAAGGTAATGCCGTTCACAACTGTATCTCAAAAAATCAAGTACCTGGGAATTGACCTAACAAGAGGTGAAACACTCATACAAAGAAAAGTATAAACTACAATTTGCAGCTATGTGGATGGATCTGTAGAGTATTATGTTGAGTGAAGTTAGTCAGAAGGAGAGGACATACAGAGAAAAATCTCATATATCACGATCACGATCATCCTGTTGTTCGTAGATTTCCTCGAGCAAGCACCAGTAACGTCTCCTTTCTAGCCCTGAGATTTTAAAAGAGCCATTTCAATGCTCTTTCGAGGATTAGGAAAATGAGACCCATCATTGTTACTGGTATTTGGCATACTGAATACGACATGGGAAGTTTGCCAGACTCTGCCGTGCGGGCAGGATACTTTTGGTAGCCTGCCAAGTTCTCCAAAGAAAAAATAAGATAATAAGATGTCGCGCGGCCGCAAATGCAGCTGTGCGCTTCCGGGAGCTGGGTTTTATAGTCTCTGCATCTTGGCCGTTGATGGGACCAACCTGGTGCTGGCGGCTGCTGGTGGACGTGACGCCTACCTACTGGAAGATGGAGGGTCTAGGTGGAGAAGGCCCAGTCCCAATCCGAGTAGGCTTGGAGACCTCAGCCCTGGGACCTGCATGTCTGGGTTCCTCTTCCAGTTCTTTCATGCATGAGGCCCGTCCAGACATGTGGAGAGTGGTCCCAGCATGGCTATGGCTGGCTCCGGAGGTCCTCAGCTGCTGGGACTCTGCTTGGGGTGGGGGGGGGAATAAATTCAGCCCTCCCCCCTCCAAGGGGCCCCGGTGAGGACAGCCAGGCGCGGGGAAAGGACACTCTGCGCTGTTCTCCTCCGGGAGCTGGGTTTTATAGTCTCTGTGTCTTGGCCGTTGATGAGACCAACCTGGCGCTGGCGGCAGCTGGTGGGTGTGATGCCTACCTACTGGAAGATGGAGGGCCTAGGTGGAGAAGGCCCAGTCCCAATCTGAGTAGGCTTGGAGACCTCAGCCCTGGGACCCACATGCTTGGGTTCCTCTATATGTGATATATATGTGAAATATATATATATATATATATATATGATATGATAAATGTGGTACATAGCACTTTCGCACTGTCCTCCCATTGTTCATCGACTTGCTCGAGCAGACACCAGTAATGTCTCCATTGTGAGATATCTTGTTACTGTTTTTGGCATGTCAAATACATCACAGGTAGCTTGCCAGGCTTTGCCATGTGGGTGGGATACTCTCGTTAGCTTGCCAGGCTCTTCAAGAGGGGTTGACGAATCAAACCCGGGTTGACTGCCCATGTGGTATATATGTGATATATATATATATATCTTTTTATTAGTAAAACACCATGAAGTACAGTTGTAGATTTACAATTTTTTGTGCTTGGGTTTCGAATATACAATGATCAAATACCCATCCCTCCATCAGTGCCCACTTTCCACCACCATGGATAATATCCCTCCCATCCCCACCCCCCACATCCCACCCTGCCTCTGTGGCAGGGCATTCCCTTTTGTTCCCTCTCTCCTTTTGGGTGTTGTGGTCTGCAAAAGAGGCATTGAGTGGCAAACATGTTCAGTCCATAGTCTACTGTCAACATGCATCTCCCCTCCTGGGAGGATCCTCCAAACACCCTTTATTTGGTGCTCCCTTCTCTATCTGAGCTGCCCTTTCCCCTAGAATGCCTGGCTGGCCTCTAAGCTATGGAGTAATCCTCCTGGTGCTGATCTCAGCTATTCTTGGGTATTAAATATGTGATATATATTTAAGTGAGATATACATATATATGTGATACACACACATACATAGTAAGAGAATCACAAATGCCCAAAGGCAACAGAAACTGATGGTCTTCAGTAGGAAGTATACCACAGGGGTGAAAGTGGACATAGGGATACTGGAACAGTGGTGGAGGGAAGTAGACACTCTGCTGAAAGCTGCAATGCCCAAAGTCTTATGAAAGAAACCATACCAATTACAGTTTTGTAAACCTTAGTGCTTCATATAAAATCTAAGAAATATATATGCAAGTAAATGCAGTGTGCCAGATCAATACAAAGAAAACAATATGATCATATAAATATAAAAAGTAATATAAAAAACTTACATGTATCTTAATGCATTTTGTTTGCAACATAACAGGTAAGGTGTTCTTCACTCAGCAACTAGTTAGAGACCAAAGACAGTTCTAGTAATTGAAGGCCTTGGGGAAGCTCTTTGACCTTATTTCTCTTATCACCTCTTTTGAAATATGTTTTGTGTGCTCTATTGCTAGACCCAGAAGTGGAGCTGCTTATATAAAGAAAACTGTATATCACAACTAAAAAATATAAAATAAGACACAGGAAATTGTATCAAAATTGTTATGGAATAAACAAAGCTCCCCCTATATCTATTGCCAACCTAGGAAAAGAAGGAAGGCTTCTCCTTGCCCAAATCTAAATTACACTGTAAAGCTACAGTAATAAAAAACATAATTTTAAATTGGTTAATGAGTAACTGTCCCAGTAATGGAATGTGCATAAAGACATGGGAGAGGGGAGGGGAGGCAGAGTTGAATGAATGAATCTGATAGGAAAAGGAAAAATAATAAATTTCAGGAAAATATTTAGAGAGTATTCGGGGACTCAGAGGAGCTGTAAAGTCTCAAACCTGACTTGAGAACTGTGCATGTGGTTGGTTTCTTTTAGAAAAAAAAATTTTCAAAAGAAGTGAGAAGGAAAAGGAAAGTCAAAAAGCTTTCCCAAGGTCTGCAAATACCAGAAAGCATTTTCAGTCTCCAGGTTTGTAATTATTTACTGAAAAGATAGCACCTTAGCAAATAGGATACATTCAGATATATTGTACCAGTTTGTAGTTCTGGTTTGTTTACTTTGAAAGTAAAATTTCCTTTGTTACGTGATAGAATACTTCCTCTAATGTAGTACAGAGATAATATATGACCTAGTTGACAATTATCAAGGATTTACTTCTTGGTAGGAAAATAGAAGTTATCATTAACTATTTTCACTACCACCCTCCTAAGTTTGCTTTTTTGACGTTTTAAAAAGCAACAAACACACAAACACTGTCCTCCCGTTGTTCATTGATTTGCTTGAGCAGGCCCAGGAACGTCTCCATCTGAGACTTCTTGTTACTGTGTTTGGCATATTGAATACTCTCAGTAGCTTGTCAGGCCCTCCGAGAGGGGCAGAGGAATCGAATGGGGCTCGACCAGGCTGGCTGTGTGCAAGGCAAATGTCCTACCGCTGTGCTATCACTCCAGCCCGAGATTTTAAAAAATCAAGTATAAAGATACTGCTTGCAAATGCAAGGATTCTAAGACTTGACTCAGGACTGATCCTCTTAGAAGGTCAAGCCAGCTCAAGCATAAAACAATGCTTGATGATTTAATGCAGCCATGTTTTTTTTTTTCCCCGAAGGATTTATCTGAATGATTTAGAGAAATTTTAGAAGAATTAAAGATTTTAGAAGAATTAAAGATTAACACTTTAA